TTTCTGTTACTATAATCAGCCCTAGTACTTGTAAGAGTGAAAGTAATACTCTGATATTATTACTAGTATGGATTCATGTCTTTGTGTCGTGTCTCCGTCAGGATCTGGTCCGTCTGTTTGACGTCTACCTGACCCCCCTTCAGAAGGAGACCTTCCTCAGTAGAGAAGAGGTACAAATACACAAACACCTGTTGAGCCGAGGAGGTCTTCAGGCTGTTGTTGTTGTCGTCTATGACCGCAGCGTCTCTCCCTCAGATGGAGGCGTTGTTTGGCAGCTTGCCGGAGATGTTGGACTTCCAGAGAGTTTTCCTTCAGACGCTGGAGGAGAGAATCTCCTCCTGTCCCAACTTCAGCCACCTGGAGACACCGGAGCAGTTCAAGGTAAACACTCAGCAGACACTCTTCAGGTGTTTCAGTAGATTTAAATTAATTCATCATTTAAAAAAAACCTTTCTCTCTCCTCGCTTGAAGCATCTCCTCTTCTCGTTGGGAGGATCTTTCCTCTACTACGCCGACCACTTCAAGCACTACAGCGGCTTCTGTGCAAACCACATCAAGGTCCAGAAGGTCCTGGAGAGAGGTGAGCTTCCTCCGTCACACAAACCCTTCCATGATTTATTCAAAGAACGATGAACAAAAGTATCCGATTTCACAGCCAAGACAGACGGAGCCTTCAAGTACTTCTTGGAGACCAGGAATCCGACCAATCAGCACTCGTCATCTCTGGAGTCGTACCTGATCAAACCTGTTCAGAGAGTCCTGAAGTATCCGCTGCTGCTGAGAGAGCTGGTGTCTCTGACCGACCCCGAGAGCCCCGAACACAGACACCTGACAGGTACACACACACCTGACAGGTACACACACACGACGGGTACACACACACCTGACTGTACAAGACACACACCTGACAGGTACACACACACATGACAGGTACACACACACAACTGACTGTACAAGACACACACCTGACTGTACACGACACACACCTGACAGGTACACACACACATGACAGGTACACACACACAACTGACTGTACAAGACACACACCTGATTGTACACGACACACACCTGACTGTACACGACACACACCTGACAGGTACACGACACACACCTGACGGGTACACGACACACACCTGACTGTACACGACACACACCTGACAGGTACACGACACACACCTGACAGGTACACGACACACACCTGACTGTACACGACACACACCTGACAGGTAGCTGCAGTGATCGCTGTAGAGGTCTCTGTCATTGACTGTAATTCTCCTGTTGTCCACTCAGAGGCGCTGAGAGCGATGGAGAAGGTGGCGACTCACATCAACGAGATGCAGAAGATCTACGAGGATTACGGCTGCGTATTCGACCAGCTGGCTGCAGAGCACAGTTCACCTCACAGACAGGTACACACACCTCACAGTTCACCTCACAGACAGGTACACACACCTCACACAGTTCACCTCACAGACAGGTACACACACCTCACACAGTTCACCTCACAGACAGGTACACACACCTCACCACACGCTGACAATGCCCCACTGTGTTTGTGGTGGACTTCCTACAGTCATTGCTTTACCTCCTGCAGGTGACAGAGATCTTCATGGGGGAGTTTCTGGTCCACTCGTCGGTGGTCTGGTTAAACCCACTGCCCAGTCTGGGCCGGCTGAGGAAAGAACCGGAGCTCACTCTGTTCGGTGGGTCCCGACTCTGATTGTCCACCATGAGACGAGTAGAGACGTAATGAGTCTCATTTCATCTTGTTTGTGTCCTCAGTGTTCAAACGGGCCGTCATCCTGGTTTACAGAGAGAGCAGCAAGCTGAAGAAGAGGATGGTGAGTCTTTAAGAGAAGGTTTCCATGTGTGGTTTGTTCCTTATTGAGGTTCCTCTACAAGTTATAAACCTCCGCACCTCATTTCTGTAGAAATCAACTTACAAAGTCAACGTTATTTGCACGTTTAAATCATGTTATGATTGCGTTATTAACCAAAAGGCTGCAGCTTTGATCAGAGTGAGGACATCACCTGGACATTACGAGGTGCAACCAGGGGCAGTAACAAAAGCCCCTCATGGTGCATTCAAGGACACTCAGATTCGTCCGCTGAACAGTAAAATGCAGGCTTCACGTTCATGTTCTGTCCGTTTAAAAACTTTTTCAGGAATACCAAAAAGGATTTAAAGAGATTTAATGATGGAAGAACAACAAAGGAATCTGTTGAAGTTTCTAAACCAGAACCGGAGGTTTCAATATCATCGAATGACCTCAAAAAGAGCAGTAAAGCTCTCCGTCTGATGCATTATTTTACATTTTAATATGTATTCAGTTTTTCTCTAATGTCTGTTTATGTGTTGGACAGACCGCCTCCCGCTCAGCCGACCCGGACCCCTTCAGGTTCCGCTGGTTAATCCCAGTGTCGGCGGTTCAGGTCAGACCGGCCAACATCACAGGTCAGTGACCAATCACAAGAGTCCCACCTGAGTGGCATCCAGCAGGTGGCGCTGTGCTGCATTCACAGACGTACCTTCGCCGTGTGTTGTTTTTTCAGGCTCAGAGGACCAGTGTGTGTGGGAGCTGGTTCACAGCCGGTCGGAGACGGAAGGACGACCGGAGACGGTGTTTCAACTCTGCAGCAGGTAAAAGTGATGGAAATGAGGGATCCGCTTGATCAGAGCCAGCAGAATCATTTGAGTTTTCTAGTGATTAGATGGTAAAATGAGCTTCATGTCATCACAGCTACTCGTGATTTTTATTAATGATCGAAGATTTAACGTCTCATTGTAGTGAAATCATTTTCTGTGTGTGTGTTCTTGTACTTCTAACTTTGTGGGGACTATTTAAAAGTCGGGACATGTTGTCCTCTGCTTTAAATACTGAGTGAGGTTTAAGACCTGGTGGTTCTTAAGGTTGGAGTTAGGTTCAGGTGTAGTTTAAATTAGTCGATTAATTGATTAGTCGATTGATTGATTAGTCTTTCATCTGTTTTTTATGTGATAATTTGCTGCTTCTTTGTTTTCCGTTATTCAAATAGAAAATATTTTGGTTTTGGACGAACAAAGACATTTGAAGACGTTGTTTTTATAATCGATAATGAAAACAAGTGTTTGTGTTTCAGCGGTTTGGAGACGAAGGCCAGCGTTCTCAGAGCTCTGCGCTGCCTCCTCAGAGACCGAGCGCCCGCCGGCTCCCTGAGGAGGACCAGGACCACGGCCGAGAGGAGCAGTTCCTGGAGGAGGTGGCAGCAGCCGAGGAGGACGACTCCTCGTCGTGCGGAGGACCTCCGAGAGGAGACCTGCTCCGAGCCTCTGCTGCCCAGCCGAGCCGCCTCCGACCCCCTGGGGAAGAGGACCAGACTCTGCTCCCTCACCGGAGAGCTGGAGGCTCAGCTGCAGAGGCTGAACTTCACCGAGGAGGAGGTGGACAAGGAAGAGGAGGCGCAGCAGCGAGGAGCAGATGACCGGAGGAACCAGGAGAAGAGGCGGAGCTCCAGTCTGAGACGAAGTCCCGGAGGAGAAGCGCTGGACCTCTTGGAGAGAGACTTCAGTGTTCAGAGCATGACCTCCGTGATCAACGAGGACTGCTTCTACGACAGCGTGCTGGGGAGACGGACGGCCGCCGCTACCACGCTACACGGCTAACGTGCTAACATGCTAACGTGGAACTCCAGATCCTGGAGACCTTTCATCAGACCTGATGGTGTTTCTGACCTCCATCACCAGGAAGTTCTCGTCTCATGGACTAAAACACTGACGAACAAGCTCTCATCTCTACAAGATCACAGACGACCGGAAGAAAGAATTTGGGAAAACGCCGACGATTTGGAAAGGAGATACATTTTTTTTCCAGAAGAGAAAGTACAACCAGCTGTGACAGCAGCTGTGATAGCTGATCAGCTGGTATCTGATCAGAACTACGTCATGCTTTCTTTAATCCATCTCTTTAGAAACACCTGAAATAACTCATTACATTATTAAAGCCACTGTTACAGGAAGTAAACACAGATTCTAAGAATAAAGTCAAAATAGAAACAAGTCTTAATTAATACAAACATCATTTTGAAAAGGAAAGTTATGATATTACAGGAATCAAACTATAATTTCACAAAACAACCAGTTGAAGTATTTTTAAGAAAGAGTTCAGTCTTTACCACATATTCTTGAATACGACCTTTTCTAATTAAATTACATCTTCATGGTTGAAAAAATATATATTTTTGAAAGTTTAGTTCATATTTGAAACATCACGACCCTTTGTTGCAAAATTACAACTTTATCTTGAATATTGTGACTTTTATTCTCACGAAAAACTTTACTTCACAGTGTTTTTAATAATAATAAACTCCAGGAGCTTCACAGGATCTGTGACACAAACCTCAAACTTCCAAAACACTTTCAGGAAATATGGAACCAATTCTTTTATTTTTTTTACATTTTCAAAAACACTAAAAAAGGATTTCATGAGATTTAATGATGAAGAACAGCGAAGGAATCTTTTGATTTGCGTCAGAAGAAAAACGGTTGAAGTTTGAAGCTTCTTTGTACTTTTTTAAATCAAACGGTGGATTTAACAATTTAACAAAACCAAAGTCTCGATATCGTTGGATGACCTCAAACACCTGGAGCTCAGTGATTTCTTTTGATGGATTATTTAACATTTTATCGTCACGAGTCTCCTTCATGTTCTGCTGGGAGATCACAGCGTTCTCAACAGAAGATTTGTGTTCCGGAAGTCTAACAGACGAATGTTGGACTCTTTTTTTTCAGTATTTTGTTGTACTCAGCTGCCTGAACAGTCTTTATTATTATTCTATTGTAATGTTGTAAATGTTTTTCTTGTACAGTTTATTTTCCTCGGTTGTAGTTTTCTGTTCAACAGATATTTTCTTGACAAAAGCAGTTTTCAGTGAAGCGTGAGGAGCTGCTGGATCGACTTATTTATACATTTAGTTTGGAGGCTGAAACACGATGAAGACGTCCGTGTTTCATTCTAAAGGAACTTTACTCAAGTTATTTTTATTAACTGTTAAAAGAATTTGGTAATTTATTTTCTTAAATATTTATGTACATCTTTTTAACGCCTTGATGCTGTTTAAAGTCCAATAAATCAGTATTTAATAAGTCTTTGATTTCAAATGATTCATTGTGTTCAACTTTAAACAACCATGTTGTCAGATATTTGTATCAATTAGCTCGTTTGTCAAATTTATTTTCTTTTTCTCTGAGAGTGAGCTGTTCAGATGGATATCATACTCATGGTTAGCCTAACTTAGCATAACAACTGGAAGCAGGGGGAACCAGCTAGCCTAGCTTTGTTCAGAGCTTGACAATACTGAAGTGAGCAGAGTTGATTTTTGTCTCGTATATAATATTTGCAGTTCTTTTTTGTTTACTTCCTCCTTCTCTGGACACGGACAAGCTAGCTAGCTAACTAGCCAGCTTTTGACATGGACAAGCTAGCTAGCTAACTAGCCAGCTTTTGACCTGTACAAGCTAGTTAGCTAACTAGCCAGCTCTGGAGATGTACACGCTAGTTAGCTAACTAGCCAGCTCTGGAGATGTACATGCTAGTTAGCTAACTAGCCAGCTCTGGAGATGTACACGCTAGTTAGCTAACTAGCCAGCTTTTGACATGTGCAAGCTAGTTAGCTAACTAGCCAGCTCTGGAGATGTACACGCTAGTTAGCTAACTAGCCAGCTCTTGGTATGGACAAGGTATCTGCCTTAACAGACATGTTTAGAGAATTATTCTGCCTTCCTTTAGGCCCCGCCCACCAAATTACATCATGTTTACTAACAGAAAAGGGTTCTACACACTGTGTGTGTTTGTGTTGTGTGTGTTGTGTGTGTGTGAGAGTCTTTGTTCTCCTCAATGTCACGGAAAAACCTTTTCAACAATGAACAGGTTTGTATTTATTTGTATTTATGTTCCCACTGAGTCACATTAATATATGAATATGTATTTTGTTATCTCCTTAGTTTGGCTTCTCTTCAGTGTTCCTGGATGCTCTGAATATGGAGGAACACCATCTGAAAGCAGGAAGTTAAAGTGTGTGTGTGATGGTGAGTCACTTCAGCTCTAACCGCTGTATGGAGGAGAAAGTAAAAACCTTCATAACACACTTAAATATCTCATGGAAAGACCTTTAAAACATTTTTCTCCGTCGTACGTTTTGATTTAAGTTTTCATCGGGAGGCCAAATATGTTTAGTTCGAGGCCCAGATTGGACCCACGGGCCGCTGTTTGCCCACCGCTGACACATACAATCAGCTGGTTGTTTGAGCAGCAGGAATGTGCTGAACATCTACATTTCAACACACACACACACACACACCTGACTGTGTGTGTGTGAGAGTGTGAGAGAGAGTGTGTGTGTGTGTGTGTGTGTGTGTGTGTGTGTGTGTGTGTGTGTGT